ATTTTTACAATAAAAAAAGTTTTAAGCATACTTTCCATATAGCTTCCCTATCTAAGGCAGTTGAATCTCCCTATTTGAAGCTCAGAACTAATAACAGTATTATCATCCATTTATCTGTTCTCCTTTGCCCCATCCAACATTTATTTAGTGTTTGCTATGTGCCAGGCAATGGGTAAGATAAAGATTATAGAAAAATAAATTCTAGAAGTCAAAATCTAATGAAACATACATAAATCAAACACCTACAAAAATTACTGACTGCCAATGATGAAGGAAAAGAACATGAAGCTATATGAGAGAATGAACAGGATTTAGTAAAACCAAAAATGTAGGAAAGAGCATTGCTAGGTAAGAATGGAGTGAAAAGAATAAGGCCAACTCATTGTGGTAGATAGGGAGAACCATAGCATGGGGTAAATTTCAGGCTTAGAGTGTTGATTCCTTGGGTCATGCTGAAGACAGTGGATTTTATTCAATGTGTAATCAGAGGCAATCAGAAACTGGATAAAACTCTAAAAATTTGTTACTATCACAGCCATCAGACAAAGTTTGATCTTCCACTGTACCTTGATGCTTGGCACATCCCAGACAGCTTCCCAATCCTAGGCTCCACATTTACTCAATATCCTGGTATCTAGAGACATTCCTCTCTATCTCCAAAACTATTTCAACTTGGAAGATAAAATTCCAGTGTTTCGCCTTAGACCATGACCACTGATAAGCCCTACTCTCTTACTACCTACCTGACCTTTAAACTTGTTTATCTGACTTTTTAAAAAAGTTAGAATAAAAATAATAAAATCTCATTAAAATAAGATAAAATAAAAATATAGACACAAGAAAAGTTCTTATTTTCCCAACCCCTATACCAAGAGAATCTTCTGAACTTACATATGAATCTTGTGAACTTACATGTACAAATAAGAGAGTTTTTTAAATTACAAAAATGATTCATAACCCATTTTTTACTGTTTTTCACCTAAAGATGAATAAATCAAAAGCCAGAAAATAAATCAAACTCATTCATTAAGTTCCTTTATATTTTCCAAACAATAGATCATGCCTGAGGCTCAACTCCAAAAAGGAGTTCTGGTACAGCTATTTGCTGCACCAGAAATGTTGACCCAAGAAAACCTTGAAGAGAATATTGCCATGAAAAGTGGTCAATTTTTGTAGTTGGGAAAGAGCTGTTCCTTGTGACCAAATAACTCTTGGGACAAAACAGGTCCTTGCTGACACTCAGCATATGGTAATAGGTCTTACAGGCCCTTAAGAACTGAGGCCATCACATCTTTTCACCACTTGGTTTCCTACTCCCCAACACATGTGCATGACAGGCCACTGGCAGGTGTTGAGGAAACTCTAGCCATGAATAGGCAAGGAAAATTGAAACTCACTTATGGGGCCTGGAAGGAAAGATGGCCAGCAAAGCAGAAATAAGAGATGCCTACTAAAGTAGAACCAATGGAAGAGACAGAAGAGAATTTTAATGAAAGTATAATGGAATTACAGAACAAAAAAAAAATGTGTCAAAGCACTTCAGGAACAAGAGTTTTAAGTAAAAATGGTCTAACCAAAAAAGATAATTATTGTCTTAAAAACTACATTAGGGGGCTAAGGAATGTGACTTAGTGGTAGAGTGCTTGCCTAGCATGCATGAAGCCCTGGGTTTGATTCCTCAGTACCACATAAATAGAAAAAGCTGGAAGTGGCACTATGGCTCAAGTGGTAGAGTGCTAGCCTTAGGCCCTGAGTTCAAGCCCAAGGACTGGCAAACAAATGAATGAACAAACTACATTAGTGATCAGAAAAAAAAATCAAGTGGAAGAAATACATGACAAGAAACCCAGTGACAGATTATCCTATTAAAAGAGGCTATGTGACTAGAGATCAGATCTAGGAAACTAACCAAGGAGTAAAATAGGCACACAGAAAGAAGTAATATTAACATAAACAGAAGAAGAAAATGTGTACAAATTACTAATTTTTGAGACCCTGAATATCAAGCAACAAGGGAAAATCCTGCAGACCTGTCAGAACTGTAAGGGAAAACATGCTTCCTCAAATGGTGGAAAGCTGGAAGCAGAGACAGTAGGCAAGGCATTCACCTTTGGGCCTTACTAGTGCTGACTCCTCAGTGCTTCATGGTGAACATTACAACAGAAATTGTTAAGTTCTTCCAGAATCTGTGTTGTGTGACCTTAAACTCTAGAGACTTTTGTGGTAGTCTCTTCTATATTCTAAAACATTGCAGATATTGATGCTATAGATACAAATCACCAATGGAAACACAAAAATTTAAATTATGAAAATGAGAACCGTTCATAAATTAGGTAAGTGCACTACTGTTAAAAGCAACAACTACCTATAGAAATACAATTGTTTGAAGATGGAAAGATCATGGAAACTCTGCGCATGGAATTGTATGCTTCTCACTTACTAGGTCTGGGATAAGGGGAAGATAATTAACCTCTGCCTTAGTTTCCTGAAAAGTTGATAACATAAGTACCACATTTAAAACTTAACACACACTAAGTGCTTAATAAATAACAGCAATGATGTTGCTGCCCATTTCTGCTATAATAGGAAGACGGCAACATTGAATAAAAAACTTAATTCTAGAATCAGAAGACATGAGTTCAAATGACAACTGTAATATTTAACTTTTGAAGTACAAAATCCTAAATTCAATCCTAAGTAACACATGTGTGTGCGCGCACACACACACACACACACAATCACAGTATTAGTCCTTATATGCTTACATTTTTTCATATCTAAAACAAGAAAAAAGAATATGTACCTTTTTTGAACATCCATCCGTCTATCAACCACAAACATCAACCAAATAGTTGCTACCTACAGTATATTTCATAGGAACTAAGAGACAAGTATGAGTAAGATAGAGTTCTGCCCTTAAACTGAAAACTCCAATCTAGTAAGCAATATTTAAAAGTCCATCTCTCTCCTTTCCACCTTAGGAAAATGAGCAGAAGGCCTCAAGGGCTAAGTATGTTTTTTATATATGTTTTTAATATGTTGTTTATATGTTTTATATGTTTTTGTATTATAATACAAAGGGTAACATCCAATCTGTTAGCAATCTTAGGCCAAAAAAAAGGCACCAATTCCTGGTAATTAATAGTTCCTCATTTTAATAAGAATATTATGAAGCAGGTGGATCATGAGGATCAGCACCTGTGGATGAAATGGAAGTCTTAGGAGGAGAGTGCAGGCCACTGTTCATTGTAATGACCCTCCCAAAGAAAGAATATAAAATGTGACATCAGAAACCGAACAAAATTATTAAGAATAGGGCCAAATGTTGAATTTTAAAAATCAAGGCTTGAGTAGAGAGTTAAGTACCAGAGTGGCTGTGCTAGGCATCTGCATTTCTAAGGATGGCTTGGCTCACCTCTAGGCCTTTGGGGGAGCTCAAATGCTTTCCTATGACTATGGCATCTGCATTTCTGTAGAGCAGAGCCCTCCTAGCTCAACCCATTGAGCCATGCATCTGCAATTCAAAGGATAGCTGGCCTTACCTCCAGACCTTGGAGCTGGGTGCACAGCTCCCATCTCCAGCCTAAGCACCAGGATGTCTGCAGATTATTTGGGCTCAGCCACCTTACTTCATTACTTTGCTTTGATGACTTATTTCCTTGGTTAGGACCACCTAAAAGATCCTTCCCCGCTTCCCCACCCAGCCTATGGATCTTGCCTTTAAATACCCTGAGCTATTTGACTCTACTGCTGTTCTTCACTGTCCCAATATAGTGGGGAGCAGTTGCCACAGCTAATAAAGATTTCTAGTCCAATTGACTGAGTGTTGGTGACTCCTTTTGCCAATAGTGGGTTTGAGTCCCACTAGCCCCAGGAAATTGAGATACTTCATTCATGATCAGAGCAAAGGATAGAATTCTTTGGCCAGACAGCTCTATTAAAAGTCTGGAACTGTATAGTTCACAATCTGCCTTTTTGGTCTTTTAAGACTTGCATTCCTTTAAATACACAGCTTTTTTTTTTTTTTTGTCAGTCATGGAGCTTGAATTCTGAGCCTGGGTGCTCTCCCGGAGTTCTTCAGCTCAAGACTAGTGCTAGAGCCCTTGAGCCACAGCACCACTTCCAGCTTTTTCTGTTTATGTGGTGCTGAGGAATTGAACCCAGGACCTCACGCATGTGAGGCAAGCATTCTACCACTTTCTACCACCTTCCCAGCCCTAAATATACAGCTCTTAAATCATTGTCCAAAAGGAGTCACAATCACTGGATCCCTTGAGAATCACATGCATCCCCTTTCAAGAGTATTTGGTTTAGCACATACAGAGGGAGATAACCAAAGGGAACAAGTTCTTGATCTCTCTGGTACTTCATCCCAAATAACAAAGACCTTATCTTAAAGTTTTGCATGTAAAAACGCTTATTCTGATTGTCCCATGTAAATTGGTTAGGAGAGGGGAAAAGTTATTCTCCTTTAATCTTTTAGTTAACTCAAAGACTTAAAAGTACCCACTGCAATACCAGATAACCACTAACAAAATGACCAAAGGTTATGAATTCATAGGGCACCCTAAATGCCTATCCTTTATAAAGAAACAGTGAATGCCAAGAAGTTTTCATCTGTCACCATCAGTTGACATTTAATAGCTTTTACTTAATATTTTATATTTAAAATAACAGAAATTATAATGGCAACTGGGCATGTTCTTTAAGCAATATTAAGTATACTGAGACATTTGGTATCTTTAAAGTAGGTATGAAGTCAGGCACCAGTGGCTCATGCTGTATTCTAGCTATGCAGGTGGCTAAGATCTGAGGATCCCAATTCAAAGCCAGCCCAGGCTGTAAAGTCCATCAAAGTCTTAATCTCTAATTAATCACCACAAAACCAGTAATGGAGGTGTAGCTTAAGTGGTAGAGCACTAGCCTTGAGCAAAAAAGCTCCTCTGTTCAAGGCCCAGAACCAAAAAAAAAGTATGTATGCAATTGTATCTATTAAAAAATAAAGTTCAGCATATTTTATTATATTTACTTAGCACCATAACATAAAACAAATATATACATTATGTAAAATCACATATTTGGCCTAGATTTACTACAAATTCATTTGAATGGTGTAGACAAACTTTACAAAGACATTCAAATTTCTGTTCATACATGGGAAAAACATTCTAAAATCCAATATAATTTAAAAGGAATTAAACAAGTGTTAAATGAGAATGATTAAGCAAAAAAAAAAAAAAAACAGTTATTGTGTCTTACAATTTCAATTAGATAATAAATTAGATTTCAAGTATCTTCAATTGGAACTAACACAAATCAAAACATACTAAAATAGAAAATAGATTCAAAAATTTATCCAAACATTGTGACATAAGAAGTTTTAAGAAACTGTAAATAGTTCTTAATACTCTCATTTTGATTCTCCGTCTTCTCAAGACTGTGTTGTATTTCTTTCAAACACACTTCCTGATATTGTGCTTTCTAAAGAAAAAAACGAAAAATATAGATAATCAAAGAATATGAGTTATAATGTATATATGAAACAACTGAATACATAATTTTTAAAACAATTTAAAATTTTCTGAAATATTTACATTCTATTTGTCCTTATAAACATATTTTAAAGCTCCTTTCCTTTTTTTAAATTAATAATTAAATAACACATATAGTTAATCTCTACTTTGATAGTTTTTTTAATACACATTTACTAAGCTCCAAATTATTACTTATTTAATATGATTAATTAATGTCAATTTTATTTTAAAATGTTAAGACTAATTTCCATTATATCTGTCATTACATATTTATTCCCATACTATTTTCTACCATTTTTTCTGCCTGAAAGTTCACAGTGATAAGCCTGGCACCGGTAGATCACGCCTGGAATCTTAAATACTCAGGAGGGCTGAGATCTGAGGATAGTGGTTAAAAGCAAGCCAGGGCAGGAAAGTCTGTGAGACTCTTATCTCCAATAAACCACCCGAAAACCAGAAGTGGTGCTGTGGTTCAAGCACTAGCCTTGAGTTGAAGAGCTGAGGGACAGTGCCCAGGCCCAGAGTTCAAGCCCCATGACTGACAAAAAAAAAAAAAAAGTTCACAATGACTCTACAGAGTACTAATTTTACTCAATTTTTTGAGAGAAAAATAATAACACAAACTTTCACTATTAGGCAGACCATAAAATATGAATGGATTTTAAGACAATACTTAAGACTTCAAAGATGCTTTGAGCTTCAGGAGGGTTGCCATGGATTAAGCTGCACATGTCACTTTTGAGATCATATATTCATTATAAACAAACACTCCACCAACACACAAGAGTACTTGGACCAAAAATATGAATAGGCTAGCAGGGTGAGTCATGCAGTTAACTATGAGACAGGCTCTCCGTGCTCATAATTCCATTCAACTTTAGCATATATATGAAATACTTAACTGCCCTCTGAACTTTCCTATAGAAGGTAAAAAAACCTGAAATTCATTTTGCAGCTATTTTTAAACCTATGCTCAGATTTTTATTAGTACAAAATGGTAAGTTTTAGCTTCATATTTTTAGCCTATTAATTTTAGTAGCTTCAGCCAAGTACTAGAAACTTTATGGCAAAATCCATCATATCTTAATTACCTTACTTTTCCAAAGGCTTTGATACCACAAAACAATATTAGACTTTTTATGATAACAGTAACTTAATGATAAAGGTATTTCCAAAAAAAGTTTAAAAATTGCATTAAATTAAAAATGATAGGCTGGGAAGGTGGCTCGGTGATAGAGTTCTTGTCTCACATGCATGAGGCGCTTGGTTCGATTCCTCAGCACCCCATAAGCAGAAAAAGCCAGAAGTGGGTCTGTGGCTCAAGTGGTAGAGCGCTAGCCTCGAGCTGAAGAGCTCAGGGATAGCACCTAGGCCCACAGTTCAGGCCCCACCACTGACAAAAAAAAAAAAAAAAGATAAATGTTTTAATTTGATTAAATTGTCATGAAACTTTTGATAGCAATAAAATTGAACAGTACTGTCAAAGGGATTTAACTTGTGAATCTTTTAAGTTTTAATTTTCTAGACATTTGGAAATAAAATAGTAGTTAACCTGAAGTCTTCATTTCCCAGAAAAATAAAGTACATTATTTTCTATATCATTATCAAGTAGGTACTCATTAAGTAATTTAAGCAGTACTAATGCTAGTTTTTAAGACTATCATAAGTTACTCTAGACCAATCTAGACTATTATGAATATGCAGGAGAAAAACATTAGCAAACTAATTAAACACAGCCAATTTACTATTCTCATTGCATGGCTGAGTGGATCAAAGCATTCATCTCATATGCAGATTTGACAGCACTGAATGTTTACTCAATGCCAAACTATAGCTTTCTAAAATATAATATTCATTGTTCAAGACAGATATCAAATCTCATTGTTTAAATTAATACATCTTTTAAAAATGAAAAATTCATAGTATAAAGTAAGCTGATTATAACTTTCATTAAGCAGCTCTCATACAAACTAATGGGCAACAAATGGGCCTGATGAACTTTAGAGCAGTGCAACAGATGTTTCCAGAAAGGCAGGAGGACAAATGCCTTGATATTAGCCTAACATTTATATTTTTGCATTTTGTAGTGTTATTTTTAATATACCAGTATTAGCTCTGAGTTACTTCAATTTGTATTTTAACTAATAAGCTACATGACATGAATGTTAAATGCTAATTTGTTTTTTATGATAATATATTAAGCCATACTAATACTTACATTGTTTATTTTACAAACAAGTTGGTTTTGTTCTTGATTTTTCTTCCTAAGTTCAGCTTCCAGATCTAGTATTTTAATTTGTAAAGCCCTCTCTCTAGATGACATTTTCTCTATTTCTTCAGAAACCTGTAATTTTTATTAAGAGAATAAAATAAATGCATTTTCTTTTCAATGTAATTTAAAGACTCAATAGAGTTAAATGGCACTTTTTATTTCCAAATAGCTACTGAGTGCTAATTTAATTAGAATGTAATTTAATTAGAATGTATTTAAAGTGTATTGTAGCTTTAAAACTCACAAATAGTACAAGTTTATCTACTCATCTTTGTAGCCTAAGTACCTGCAAAATTAGCCTGCAATGGTGAGTTGAGTACATTTTCCCTGTTTGGTCATTAGGGACTTTTCCCTATAAATTCTTTTGATGCTGGTCCTGGGGCTTACCACAGGGCCTGGGCATTGTCCCCAGGCTTCTTTTGTTCAAGGCTAGTGTTTGACCACTTGAGCCACAGCTCCACTTTTGACTTTTTTAGTAGTTTAGTGTAGATAAAAGTCTCACAGACTTCCTGCGTGGGCTGGTTTTAAATCGTGATCCTCAGATCTAAGCCTCCTGAGTAGCTAGGAATGCAGGTGTGAGCCACTGTTGCTCAGTTCCAACAGCCTATTTTTTAAATGTACTAAGACCACTTGTTGTTTTTGATAGTATTTACATTCACCCTGATGTCTAGAAAATTCTCATTAAATGCTGATTATAATTTAAATGGCTGGAATGGAGTGGGATGTTGCTCACAGTGTATACCCACACAAATGCACATGCATGCACACACACACTCATGAACACGCACAAATTGGCTTTTCACTCATGCACTTCCAGTGTGGTAGTACATTTAGCTTAGCCATGTTCATCAGATTCAGACTTCTAGGAACTTATCTGTAAAAATGTTGGGCGGGAGTCACAAGAAAGAGTAGAAAGAGTTGGTACAACAAGTAGAGGCAATGAACTAGTGGGAAGAACTATCCTCCAAACTAACTTCAAAGATTCAGTTCTGTTACTGTACAACACTTTGCAAAGACTCCTTCTTCCCAAATACCAAAGGTGATGGTGAGTGAGAGATAATAGTAGGATATGATGTTGTCTGTGGGGAAGAAACTGTGAGGACAAGCAACAGTGCCCAGGCACTGACCCCCTCAATGTGGGCAATGATGAAAGGGGAGTGATGGCCCTTCTCAAATGGATAAAAAGCTAGAGATTCCCCCATAATCCAGCATAGTTCTGGGACCCTCACCACTTTGGGGGAGGAATGTGAGAGCATTTTCCAGGTCCACATGAGCTAAATCCATGATAAAGTCACCTCTTATTTTCTTCCCAAAGGATGATAAGGCTAAGAAATACATATTACATATCAAGGAGTACATTTTGTTATTTAGGTTGTTGTTGTTTGGTAGTACGAAGGTTTGAGCTCAGGGCTTCAGATTTGCTTGGCTTGTCCTGTCCATTTGAAACAACCCTGCTTTTGCTGGTTATTTTGGAGATGAAGCAGAGCAAACTTTTCTGCCTGGGATGGCCTTGAACCCTGATATTCCAGATCTCAGTCTCTTGAACAGACAAGATTTACATGCATGAGCTTACAGGGTGGAGTCAGGGATGACACTCTTAAGATCAATTTAAACTGTTTATCTAGAGTTTAAGAAAATCCAAATACATCTGACACTTGTGATAGAAAAGCTACATTTCAAAGATACCCAATTTTATGCTTTGCAGGACAGACATAATCAGTTTGAGGAAGACAATGGGTAGAAGAGAGTTTGGAAGGAAAGATTAAGAATGTGGTTTTAGACATTCTAAGTTTGACACACCATGCTAAATGGAGATGACAGATAATAGTAGAATATCAAAGTCTGGATTTTGGTAGGGACACAAGTATGAGCAGTATCACTCATCCTACAAGGACATTCAACATCCCTGTATTACTAATTAAGAACTGAAGTTCAGAGAAGTAACTTGTCTTTGATCAGGATACAATGTGTCAGACTCAGAATTCAAATGTAGTTCCTGTTGGATTCCAAAGACTACCTTATATTCATTCTTTCAAGATTAGATTTTTACCCTGTTTGATAAATTTTCCTCTTCTATGAGGTTTTTCTCAATCCTTTCCCCTAGGCTCCAGGTTAAGATAAATACTCATGGCATCCCTTAAGCCCACCTCTTACTATAGCACTTACATTTCGTTTGTTCTCATGTTATTACCTAACTCACTTAAGAGTGTAGTGTGAACTGAAGCCAGGCCTTCTCATCTTTGCCTTTCAAGCACTAGCAGAATGCCTAAATGCTAAATGCTAACTTCACAGATTGAACTGAAACTGAATTCTTGCTTGTATTTATTTATGCAACAAATATTTGTCAAAAAGGCCTTGAGCTTTACAGCTTACTAGATCCTAATTGAAGCCAATTTTTTAATTATTTGCACCCTCAAATTGGTTTTATATTTTAGAAGGGGAAAGGGTTATACCTTCAAATCATTTTCTGTCTCTGCCTGTAACCCTGCCACATCATCAATTGTCTGGTAAAATAACTCTGGCACAGTAATATCATCTGTTATGCTCCAAGGGAAAATTAGGTAAAGAACAAAAATGTAACTATTCCCTTTACCCTGTCAGCAGAATAAGAACAATAACTGTAGGTTTAGCATAGGAGATATGATTTGTTTAAATAAACAACCCCTTGGCAAACTAATTAAGAAGTTTCTAAAAAAAGGCCATCTGTACCTTTAGTCTTCCTTCTTCTAAAGCAGCTTCCAGCTGCCTGGCCAGTGCTGTATATTCTGCCGACTTCTCTTTAAGCTTCAGATTGCTGTGCTTAAGACATTCTTCTTGGTCTGCTAGCTTCTTTTCAAGATCTTTATTCTCTGCATCCATCTGTTCTAATTTCCTTTTTACAGTAAATATATATTTTAAAGCTACAATGTTATAGGTAAATATACACTAATTTTAAGTCAATTCAATACTTACTGTTTAAGGTTTTCACACTTTAACTGAATGAGAGAATTCTCTTCCTCAAGTGAAAGCTTTGTCAGAAGACTATGACTTCCATCAAACTAAAAAAAAAAATATTTTCTTGGTTATTTTCTTTATAAAAAGTTTTGAGAATGATTTGGATATTTTATTGTCAGAATAAGCACAAGACATGAGAAGATATGAAAGTCATTATTCCTACACAAAAAGGCACCAAGAACTATTAACACTGTTAAAATACACGTTCTGTTGCTAAAGTCTGAACTCAGCCTTGGGCAGAAAAGTACCTGAGACTCTCAGTTCCAATTAGCCACTAAAAAGCCAGAAGTAGAGCTGAGTTCCAAGTGGTAGAGTGCCAGCCTTGAGCAAAAAAAAATCTAAGGGAGAATGTTCAGGCCCCGAGTTCAAGCCATATTAGCAGCATAATAAACTTTTCCTGACTTTAAAATAATTTTTGGAACAATATTTTATGGAAAAGGGATATTCAGTTATAATATAAATTTTTTAAATAACATTAATCTACAGTTTTTTATGGTTTTATGTTTCATTTAAAATATATTAATTGAGGGGCTGAGAAGGTGGCTCAGTTGTAGAGCGCTTGCCTTGCATGCCTGAGGCCCTGGATTCGATTCCTCAGCACCACATAAGTAAAAAGAAAAAAGCCAGAAGTGGTGCTGTGACTCAAGTGGTAGAGCACTAGCCTTGAGCTGAAGAGCTGAGGGACAGCGCCCAGGCCCAGAGTTCAGGCCCCACGACCGGACCCCAAAAATAATAATAATAATATATATATATATATATATAAATTGATGTTTGGTATAGTGGCTCATGACTGTAAACTCAGCTACTTAGGAGGTGAAGATAGGAGCATCAGTTTGAGGACAGCCTAAAAAAAAAGTGGTGAGACCCTATTTCTAAAAACAAGCTGGGTATGATAGCATTTGCCTGTAATTCCAGCTATACAGGAAGTATAGATAGCAGGATCACAGTCCAAAGCTGACCTGGGCAAAAAGCACATAACTCTATCTGAAAAATAACTAAAACAAAAAGGGTTTGGGGCAAGGCTCAAGTGTTAGACACTTGTCTGGCAAGCTCAAGACCCTGAGACCTCTAGTACCATCAAAATAATAATAATGATTGATATTTGACTATATATGAAGTTGTAACTATAGGTAAAAATATTATTGAGAAGTAAACTAATAACACAAATAACAAATAACACAAAGCCTATGCAAGATAGAATTTTCTTCCCATTGCTTCAACGGCAGAAGCGTTAATAATAATAAAGAAGCATTAATAATAATTCTTGTAATTTCAACTAGTAACTTAGGTTAAAATATATAATCTGATAATTTCCTAGAAAAGTATCTTCTCAGAAATTTAAATTTACAAAAGACTGCATGTTTTTAAAAAAACAACAGGCTGTATTTCAAAATGAAAATCCAGATTATATATGGAAGACAGAAAGTAAATGCTTACTAAAAATGTCTCACAAGTAGTGAAAAAGATTAGCCATCTTCCTCAGATATGCTTTGAGAGAAAACTAATTCATCTGAAATCACTGAGTGCTTTCTCTGTGGTAGGCATTAAGCTAGGTATGGTTGTGTGATGACCAGCTGAATATACCTGGTCCTTATTCTGATGGGTTATAAAAAGGACATACTGGAAAAAAAGACAGACAATAACCTCCAAAAATTTGGTGCACAATTTTAATTAAAATACATTCTAATTTTTGTTAGTTATAATAATTTATCAAAAAACTGACGTGTATTTTGATAAATTATAATAATCTACTTTATCCTGACATCTAGAAACATACATGTAACCACAGCTTTGTTCCTTTTCTCTCATTTATTATACTATGTCCTCCATTGTCAAAATAAAGGTTTACAAGAAAAACATAAATTAGCAATTCTTTTTAGTACTATTAGAATTCAAGTTTTATGGTTGCTAGACAGGCATTCAATCCTAGAGCCATGCCTCTAACTCATAAATTAGCAGGCTTAATTATTAATTTGTCACCATTAGACACTAAAAGAATAGTCTGCAAAACAGTATTACTCTATCCATATTAAAATATTGTTTCATCAATTATGTACATGGGAATCAAAAAAAAAAACAAAAACAAAACCTGAATCCCTGACATGAATGCCCTCAAATGGTGAAAGGACTCCAAGCATTCCTTTCACACATATTGCAAATCTCAGAACAACCACAGGACACCTGGCCCTGAAGCTCCCTAATGGTTTGAGCCTGGTTTGCACATTTCTCCTTGCAGCACCGCAGACTCTCCTGACACTCCTGAAGCCTCCGTTCAGCTGACATCAACGAATCGCGGACACTGTCTACCTCCTTCAGATGAGACTCCATCTGGCCTCTCATCTGAATTGTGACATTAAAGGAAAAAGTGCAAGGTCACACATTCGGCAGGGATATTCTTACTCTCTTAAATATTAGATATGTTGTTATATAGTAAATATTTTAGGCAGAGTGATTTTAAGCAATAGTATTTAACCAAACAAATACGAATGAATATTAATTGAGATTTAGCTGGATAAGTACTTAACTAATTTTCAGAAGTTTATCCAGCAAATTAAACATGGAAGTATTAGCTCACAGAGAGGATGTTTAAGCTACTTGGGAAAGCTTTTTTTTTAATTTATGCAAGCACAGATATTATTTAAAAAAATTTGGCATACTTGTTTCTACTGCCTACCAACAGCTCTAAGACACTGTTATCTTCAGTCAATCTTAGAATCTTAGAACTTAGCTATTTAACTAAATTTAGAGCTGTCTTGGCCCAAATCAGTGGGGTTTGAGGTATACTATTTCAAAGAGCTGATATCCAGCTCTCACACTATTGTGATAAAAAAAAGTCTCTAATTTTGTTTACATTAATCCCCTTGTGCAATTTCTCAATGTACCATTTTGGTGGATACATGACATAAAACAGCCTTAAAAAGTGGCTGTAGTGCTAATTTTTTAAAATATTTAAGCCAGATGTCAGTGCCTCTTACCTGTAATCCTAACTACTCAGGAGACTGAGATCTGAGGATCTCGGTTCAAAGCCAGACTAATAAACCACTCAGAAAACTAGAAGTGGAACTGTAGCTCAAGTGGTAGAGCGCTAGCCTTGAGCTGAAGAGCTGAGGGACAGTGCCTAGGCCAAGTTCAAGACCCACAACCACACACAAAAAAAAAAATTTAAAAGGAAAAAGAATTTTACACACACATGCACACAAATATAGATGTATATATACACACATATATGTGTGTATATATACACACACACCACACACACACACACACACACACACACACACACACCTTTGCTTACAGACCAGTAACCTCATAGTAGCTAGAAAAAAAGTTTTTTTTCCCCTTTCTGCTTTTACAACAAGTTTTTAAAATAGGCTTCTAAAACTCTGGATTCTCCTCAGATCATAAAAAGAAATCTTTCCTTTTGCTCAAATAGAACTTTATTTATAGTGCTGTCTAGCAGAAAAGGAGACTTTTCCATGTGAATGCTTGATGAGAAAAAAGAGACCAAAAGACAAGAAATGGTATCTTCTCTGGTCTGCTAAAAATAGGTAAAAAGTAATTCTAGGAAAACAGTAAGTTGCATATTTGATGATCTGTTCTCCATTTAATCTATTCATATTTCAGTGCCAGTGTGCCACCCTGGCTGACCTTTTCTTCGCAGAGAAGCCTCACTCTGACTTCTCAATCATACATAAGGAAATAATCCAGAGATAGTAGCTGCATTACCCTCAGATGGAACTGACCACTGACACTGAATGACCTCTTTAGCCAAGAGTCAGCATCCGATCACTTCCCTCCCCAAACCAAATCCAAAAAGGAATGCAGTTTCATTTAAAAACTCAGAAATATTCATAAAAACATCATCATTGCCAGCACTGGCCTTCTTCTCCTCATTCGGTTGCAACATGGTGAAGAGAAGGAAATGATAGTTCTTTTTTTTTTTTAAGAGATTTTATTTTCCTTCCAAAAATGCATTTAGCAGAGAATACTAACATATTTTTTTAGACACAAGATTTATAGACAGAAAAAAAGGTGCAATTAGTTTGCATTTTGTGGCTGATGAATCTCAGTAATAAATAACTGTATTAGTTTATATCTGCCCCTATATCAACAAAATTATACCTTTGTGCTAGTTTTCAAATACTAAGGAAAAAGTGAAGAAACATTCATTCATAAAAACATTTCAAGCCTGGAAGAAACATTATTTATTTAGGGGAAAATAAGTCCTCCAGAAGTTGAGAATAAACTAGAGAAAATAAAGTGAAAGAATTTGATATTCATCAAGTGACTATATCTATGTATATGTAAGGTTATTTTATTCAATTTCAAACTTACCTTCTCTATTTTTTTATTTTTGTTTTTTGTTATTAGGCTATTTTCCTTTAGCAATTTTTCAAATCTGCTTTTCACCATTTCAGCTGCTTCCTGCAACTTTTCTACCTAAAAATAAAAATATATTAGATCATCATGTATTATTTTAAGAGTGTAACATGTAATAAAAACTCTAAATAAGTCACTATATACTTAACATCCTCGGTATATTTGTCACTCCTTCTTTAAATATGGAATTATTTAATGCTCTAATCTGCAATACTTCTATGATTCACCTGTTTTCTTCCATTAGTATGTCTAGAGTCTTCACTAAGCACTAAAAACTATAGATTTGCAGGTAATTATCTGGTCCAGGCCAGCAATCATTCTAATAATCAAAAACTGAGTACTTTATACAAAGTTCAGTAGCTAGAATATGGTAACCAGTCATAATATTCTTATTGAGGGATTAAACCTGAACCACCAGGTGGAAGACTGAGATGATAGGATCAACTTACCCACAACTTCCATCCTTACCTCCACATTTAGAATATTCTAACTAAATGCCTTGATTCCATTTTCCCATCTCACCCATCCAGACGTAAGCCCTTCATACTTGTCTATTCTTTTTTTTCTTAGTTTTATTTTTGTGGCTAGAGGGCAGTGCTAAGAATCAAATCCAGTAGGAAAGACATTACTACCGAGTTAAACCCCGGCCTAGGATTATTTTTTAATTCAGATTCTTCCTGTTCCAATAAAATCTAGATCCTGTGTGTGTGTGTGTGTGTGTGTGTGCATGTGTGTCTGTGTGTGCGTGTGTGCGTGTGTGTGTCTGTGTGTGTCTGTGTGTCTGTGTGTGCGTATGTGCATGCACTCACACACACGTGTGTGTGTGTGTGTGTGTGTGTGTCTGTGTGTGCGTATGTGCATGCACTCACACACACATGCACCAGTCCTAGATGCTGAACTCAGGTCACGGGCAGTGTCTCTGAACTTTTGTGCTCAAGGCTAGTGCTCTACCACTTGAGCCATAGCGCTACTTCTGGCTTTTTATTTTTTTTGGTAGTTAATTGGAGATGAGAATCTCATGGACTATTCCTGACTGGCTTGGCTTTGAACCATGATCCTTAGATCTCAACTTGCTCAGTAGCTAATATTATGGGTGCACCACTGGCACCAGACTAAAATTCAGATCTTTACTATTTTGTTATTCATTAAGCAACTATTTGCATAAGTGCTATGTGTTTCATGACTTGATTATAGCTCTAAAACATAAAGCTTTTATGTAAATACTACTGGACACAGTCTCTCTTTCATATATACTGCCATATGTTTTTTTCTAAGTCTTTCATATGAAAAATCTTAATTATACTAGGAGAAGGGGAGTTCTGGGGTTTAGTGATGCTAAAAGGTAGTCATATTGTAAATCAGTATCACTAAGTAACAACAAATACATAAACCAAGATAAACAAAGGAGCTGTATTACATCTATACAACTAATATTAAATATACCTTTAGGAATAGCCATTTCACCTACAAGCAGTATTGGAATCAGGAATTGGCAGTACTACAATGGTACTTGAACCCTAAGAAATGGTTGGAACATACTGTATCTATTATAAAATAGTAAACAATCTCCTAAGTTCTGCTTATTAAGTTCACAAATAAAATGTTTTAAATTATCTACAAAGTTTAACAAACATTAACATAGATGCAGTGGTCACCTGAGTTTTATATACTTCAATCAGGTCTTTCTGTTGTTTTTCTACTTCTTGCAATTCTATGAGTTCATTTTCAACAGAAACAACTTCATCCTTCAAAGCAGCAAGTGAAGTCTAGACAGGAATATATAGATGATTTTATAAGTCATTTGAAAACTGTTACTTATGAAACTATTATAACCTATTATAAAACAGCATAAAAACTATTATAAAACTATTCTTAATTACAAAAATTTACCAACAAGTTTAACAATATTTGGTTTGGGCAACATACAACTACCATATAAAATTCAGAAATTTGGAAAGTAGTGAACTGATAATAAAAATTGATTCTCTACCTACCTCAATCTAATGCTGAAGAAGTATCAAATGTATTAAAGACTGAATATTTTACAAAACAAAAAATTAAAAACATTCAAAGAATATCTAGGTAAAACTATAATGGAGTTTAGAATAGCAAAAACTCAATTCATAAAAATTTTAAGAAGAGTTGGGTGCTGGTGTCTCATGCCTATAATCCTAGCTACTCAGGAAGCTGAGATCTGAGGATTGCAGTTCCATGCCAGCCTGGGAGAACAGTCCCTGTGAGTCTTTTATCTTCAATTAACCATTTAAAACCCAGGAGTGGCACCATGGCTCAAGTGGTAGAACACTAGCCTTGAACACAAAGAAGCTCAGAGACAATGTCTAAACCCAGAGTTCAAGCCCCAGGACTGGCAAAACATAAATTAATTTTTTATTTAAAAAAATTAAAAAGATGCAAGAATTATAAGAGTCTGAGATTTTACCCTTCATGTAAGTTTGTCTGTTATGCTACTGATTTCCTGGATGTTAACAGAAAACAAGTCCTTAGAGACTGAAGACTTTATTTCAGCAATGAGAATATCAAGACTGTTAGTATTTGTGTCATTTTCTTGAGTTGTATCTCCAATGGAGCAAAACAAAGAAGGCCAAGTGAAAACTGCACATGCAGTGGGATATATTATAGAAGGGCAAACCCAAGAGTGGGGAACTCTCAAATTTCTCATTATAGGCAGCAAGCATGACTGCTTTTTGCAAAGGGAAATATTATTAACTCTCAACAATGTTAACTCCACAAACATCCCTGAAAAGATTATCTAGATCACAAGAGGTTAATAATTATAATTCCCACAGAAGCTACTGTGTATATATAGAGAAAGAGATGTATATACATATACATGACATTATACGTCATCAGTCACTTAACAAATATGACAAATGTAAAGTTAATACCTTTAATATTTACAGAGTTCTAATCAAAAGTCAAAGGACAATGACTATATCACTCAAAAAAGGCAGAAATAGGCAGATTCCAAAGGCTCATGACGGTAATCCTAGTTCTGAGGATCACAGTTTAAAGCTAGCCCAGGCAGAAAAGTCCATGATTTGGGAAGCAAGAAGCATTTGGAACTAAATTTAAAGGAATATAAATTCTTATATATTTGGTTAGTTTAATTATCTCTAAGTAGTTGTTCAAAAGTGCTAACATTCAACAAATCAGTTTATGAGTATAATGTGTCTTGATTGATGTCATTCCTTTCATCATTTTCTCCCATTCCTCCTAACACAACTCCTCATTCTCCATTTCTTTAATTTCATTAAGATATACATTGAATATATATATATATATATTGAATATCTACATTCTACCCTCATTCCTCTTCATTTGTTTACTCCCCTCCTCTAGACCTCCCCTAACACCTTTCAAGTATCAGTTTCCTAATATTCATTGTGTTGGACTGTTAATTTTTAAGAAATTATACAATTTGAATTCTCCCTTCCATATAACATGCTTATGTAACTGATTTTGTATACACTTGCATATGACCTGAGTGTATTTAATTGTACATTTATAAATTAGATTTTAGATCTAGTTTCCACAGATGATTTCTCTCATCTGTGTTCCTTGTCTCTCTGAGGCCTGACTTATTTCACTTAACATAATTTTTTCCAGGTCCTTCCTAAAGGATGAGTAAGCCGGGTGCCGGAGGCTCACGCCTGTAATTCTAGCTACTCAGGAGGCTGAGATCTGAGGATCGCAGTTCAAAGCCAGCCAAGGCAGGAAAGTCCCTGAAACTCTTATCTCCAATAAACCACTAGAAAACTGGAAGTGGCACTGTGGCTCAAGCGGTAGAGCGCTGGCCTTGAGCTGAAGAACTGAGGGACAGCACCCAAGCCCAGAGTTCAAGCCCCAAGACCGACCAAAAAAAAAGGATGAGTAAAATTCCATTGTGTATTCTTTATCTATTTGTCCACTGAAGGGCATACACAATGGTTAATAGTGCAGCAATGAACAGAGTTGAGCAAGTGGCTTTACTGTACCCTGATTTATCTTTTGGATAAATGCCCAGATGTAGTATTGCTGGATCACAGAATAATCCTATGTTTAACTTTTTTATTTATTGCTATTATAAAGGTGATGTACAGAAGGGTTATGGTTAAATAAATCAGATAAACAGTATATTTCTTTTTGAACAATGTAAATGTTTAATTTTTTAAGGCATCTCCCAACTCCAGAATCTCCAAATGCTAGAATTGTTGAACAAGTTTACATTCCCTTCAACACTATGTTAAGGTAAGGAATGAAAGAATTTAAACACTAACAAAAGGAAATTCTTAAGTGCAATGAAATAGGAAAATTATAGGAATCTATGCAGGAAATTATAGAACCATACAGAAAATAATGAACTTTCCTATTTGTTAGAGCTTACAATAACTCCATATATATATATATATATATATTACATTCCCTAGCATTCCTTTCAGCTACATAGGTCATGTGTATAAACAAGTAAAAGTTTCTTTAATGGGAAGGAGATGAAAAAGGAGGGCATAATATTTCTTTTTCCCCCTCTATTCTGTTTCAAATTTGGCTATAATAGCTTGAAACTCCAGCAGCCATCTAGATTTTGAGGATAAGCAAGGGCAGACACAGAGCTAAGAGGCTAAGTTAGCAGATAACCTCTCTGCTCTGAATATATACCAACTTTAGAGTTTGCTTAAATAATAAACATATAGTTCTACTTGATTGGGGTTTTTATTATATTCATAAAGCTGCCTCTTAACTAGTAGAAAACTCACTGAAACATCAAAGACAGTTCCCTAGAGTAGTCAATTATTTTGTTTCCTGGAAATGTCTACCACATTCTAGCAAAGTTTACATAATTAAAAAAATGGGAAACCAAGTTTGTAATTATAAACTCCAAACATGATTGTATCTAGTATTGTTTCCTTCCTATATGCAAATTATAATCCTGGCTGTTCCACTTAGTTAGATAGATTCTTCCCTCAAAAGACAATACTAGCCTATGGACAAAAAGACTTAGAAGCACATGTACAATGAATAAATAGATTTCTTTTGGGGCTTTTTTTTTGTGTGGGGGGGGTGCCAGTCCTGGGTGTTGAACTCAGGGCCTGGGCACTGTCCTGAGCTTCTGTGCTCAAGGCTAGCACTCTATCACTTGAGCCACAGTTCCACTCCCAGCGTTTTGGTGGTTAACTAGAGATAAAGAGTATTAGGGACTTTCCTGCCCAGGCTAGCTTTGATCTTCAGATTTCAGTCTCCTCAGTAGCTAAGATTATAGGTGTGAGCCACTAAAAGCCCTGCTTAGATTTCTTTTAAAAAGAAAACCCCAGAAATTAATATTGGCTGAATTACAATGAATTTATAAAATTACCTAGAAAAAAAGGCTAATCTTAAATATTATGGGTAAAACAAAACAAAACAACTAAGGAAAGCAGTGATTTTCTTCCTATGATTTAAAAAAAAAATCTCTACTGATCAAATATTTAGACAAAATAATAATACCAAAATATAAGTGCCACGGAGAGGCAGGATCTTGCTACACATGTCATATATATCACTCAGATCCCTCCCATTTCCTCCACTCATTCCTAAATGACTACAAGCAACAGGACTATGATTTTCAAGTCTTCCACTTCGAACTCATCAAGTCTCTCCATGTGGAACAAACTGGGCTTGAGCCGCAGGAGCCGGACTTTACTCACTGATTTAAAGTCAGGAACTGAAAGGTCTCCAAACTGTCCACGCTAAGAAAGGTTACCAACTTTATAAACCAACAGATAGAAAGGATTTTGTTTTCCAGTGTGGGCAATCTGCTGTTTATCATAATAAGCAATCTTTTTTTTTTTGGGGGGGGGGTCCGGTTGTGGGGCCTGAACTCTGGGCCTGGGCGCTGTCCCTCAGCTCTTCAGCTCAAGGCTAGCGCTCTACCACTTGAGCCACAGCGCCACTTCTGGTTTTTTTCTTTTTGCTTATGTGGTGCTGAGGAATCAAACCCAGGGCCTCCGGCATACAAGGCAAGCACTCTACCACTGAGCCACCTTCCCAGCCCATAATAAGCAATCTTTAATTACTGTGTACTGTATAATGTTATACACCTCCCTCAAAGACAGATCCGTACTTAAAAAATAGATTGGGCACCGGAAACTAATATGTCCAAGTCTGTAATAAATAAAATCTTCTCTGTAGTATATGATGTTGAGATGCAGAGAAGAAAAGGTTAGTAAAAAGTACAAGAGATTTGGAGGCATCTCTAATTTCCTTCTGGGAATAATCTTAAAATAAAAATTATGAGCCTCAAAGAAAAATACTGAGGAATTAACTTAAGCAAAGACTTAAAGGACCTCACGATGAAAACTTTAAAAATCTGAAAAAGATCCAACACAGACACCCTGGTAGGTCACTCTCCCCGGGCTCTGTCCTCGTGGCCTAGGGGAGCATAGGGCTCTGCCCAGTGATGTATAGTCCCTTTCCACAATGTTGGATATGAAGCCAGGCTTTGTGTCTGCGCCCGCATATTCCTACAGCTTCCCAGAGTCCTGTGGACAATGACTGGGAAGATAAACCATGCAGGAAACTGTAAAAAAAAAAAACTGAAAAAGAAAATTAAAGCTGATTTTTTAAGGAAGTGTAAAAACCTCTCATGCTCCTGGATTAGGAGGATTAACAATGTGAAAATGGCAATACTGCCAAATATCCTCAACATCCCAACAACATTCTTTAATGAAAAAGAAGCAATCCCAAAATCCATATGGAATAATAAAAGACCCCAAATTATCAGGAAGAACAGTGCTGGAGGAATACTAATAACAAACTACAAACTTTATTAAAAAGCCATAGTTATAAAAACAGCTTGGTACTGGCACATGAACAGATCTAAGGACCAATAGGATAGAATTGAAGATCCAGAAATGATCCCATAGACGTATGGCCACCTGATCTTTGATAAAGGAGGCAAAATAACCAGATGGAAGAAAGACAGCCTCTTCAACAAATAGTGCTGGCAGAATTGTCTATACACATGTAGAAAATTGAAGTTAGATCCTTATATATCACCCTGCACCAGAATCAACTCCAAATCTGCTCTTACCTCAAGTGAATTTTACAGGAAGGGATAGGGGAAACAGTAGGGCTCCTTGATACAGGTCGGAACTTACTAAAGATTCAGAAACACAACAAATCAAAGAAAGGCTGGATAAATTGAAATGTATTAAACTGCAGAGCTTCTGCATAGCAAAGAACTAGCTAGCAAGATAAATAGAAAACACACAGATTGGAGATCATCACTAGCTATACAACAGACAGAGGCCTCATATCTAAAATATACTTAGAGCTCAAAAAATGAAACCTTCCAAAAACAAATCCTCAAAGAAACAACAACCCCATTAATAAGTTGGCTAAAGAACTAAAAAGAGACTTCTCTAGAGAGGAACTAAGAATAACCAATAAACACATGAAATGTTCAATCTCTGGCCATACAAGCAATATAAATTCAAACTACATTGAGATTCTTCTTCACCCCAATAAGAACAGCCATTATTAAGAAAACAAATAATAACAGAGCTGGTAGGGATGTGGCCTAAAGGAAACACAACTATACTGTTGCTGGGAAAGTAAACTGGTTCAACCACATTGGAAGGCTCCTCAAAAGACTAAACGTAGAGTTCCTCAATGATGCAATAATCCCACTCCTGGCATTTACCCAAACAATCACAAACAAGGCCACAGTAAGACTACTGGCACAATTATGCGCAGCATTATTTACCATGGCTAGATTTGGAATCAACCCAGATACCCCTCGGTAGATGAATGGATCAAGAAAATGTGGTAAATAACACAGTGAAATTCTATGCTTCCAACAGAAAGAATGACATTGCCCAATTGGTAAGGAAACGGAAAGACTTGAAAAAAATCATATCAAGTGAAGACTCAAAGAAACAAAGGCTAAATGGTTTTCCTCATTTGTAATAATTAGTATATGCCTAGGATAGTCCTAGCAGACATTCACAACAACTATTGTGTACATATGTATAAATGACCACATAAAATGACAGTAATCATAATGATCCCCACAATATGGAAATGAGAGTTTTTTGTGGTTGTTTTTTTCTTTCTTTTTTTTTTTAAGAATATAATGTTTGCAGTTGTTTCTTTTATCTTCTTTTTATTTTCTCTTCTGGTTTATTTCTTTGGTCTCTGTTTCTGATTTTGGTACCCTTTGTCTTCTATAATTTTATCTGACCTGGGGTAGGGAAGGGGAATCACAGAAACAGTGGGACAAAGAGTGAACCAATACAACAGTAATACTAAACACTATGTTGGAAATTAACTTTACAACTTTGGAGAGGAGGGAGGAAGAGAAGGGGGAAGGAAAGTGGGGGAGAGGAAGGAAAGTGGGAGAAAACGTGGGAGAGGGTAACACTGCTCAAAAAGAAATGTACTTATTACTTTACCTATGTAACTACAACCCCTCTATATATCACCTATATAATAAAATAAAACAACTATTTTGAAATTTAAAGCCTACACCACCATCATTTCTAGTTAAAATCATTTTATGTAATAATTTATTTATATTTTTTCATGTAAATGGAGTCATGAAAAACCATCCATTGTAACTTTTCCATAACATCTACATAATGGTCAATAATTTTCCAAAGGAAGAAATAAGTACAATTATAAAGCAAAAACAAAACATACAAGCAAATAAAAACACTCGTTAAAGTATAATAAGGTCTTAACACTTAATCCTTGCTACTCAGGAGGCTGAGATCTGAGGATCACGGTTCAAAGCCAGCCCAGGCAAGAAAGTCTGTTAAACTCTTATATCCAATAAACCACCAGAAAACCAGAAGTGGCACTGTAGCTCAAGTGGTAGAGCACTAGCCTTGAGCTGAAGAGCTGAGGGACAGCGCTCAGGCCCAGAGTTCAAGCCCCACAACCGACAAAAAAAAAAAAAAGATGTATCTCAAGTACCATACAACTACAATAACCTTTTAAGTAATTATGAATGCTGTAGTAAAACTAAACATAAAAAAGTCACATTTGCTTAAAAGTTTCTCTAAAATGTACTATATGTTATTGATAACATGCTAATATTTTAATTTATCATTGCATATCAGCTAATTCATAGTTTTCTTTCTTTTTTTCTTAAGTGTATGTGTGCTAATAATGAGGCTTGAACTGTCCTTTTGCTCAAAGCTAACACTTTAACACTTGAACCACAGCTCCACTTCTGACTTTTTTCTGGTAAACTGAAGATAAGATTCTCATAGCCTTTCCTTTTGAGACTTTTAGCCACAATATCAGATCTCTTGGACAGGTAGAATTATAGGTGTAAAGTCACCAGTGCCCTGCTAAAGACTTTTGTGTGTGTGCTAGTACTGGGGCTTGAACTCAAGGTCTTGCTCTCTTACCTGTTTTTGTTGTTAAAGGTGGTACTCTTAACACTTGAACTACACCTCCACTTCCCATGATTCTGTTTTCTGTCCTACAAAAGTAGTATTTTGAACTAGAAATGGTGTCATCATCTTTAGTCAAGTGTCATCTTGACTATGCACAATTCTGGGTAACAGAGAACTTAAGTATCTTTTATCTCAGAAAGTCTAAAAACTTCTTTCCCATTTTTTCTCTTGTACACATACAAGCAAATCACCCCTTTGATTTGTCTTGGTTGAAAAATTCTTTCTAGTTATGATGCAGCCAAGAACACACTTTCTAGTTTCAAACAGACCTTGCCTGAGGTTATATCCTACGGCAACCATGACACCTAACAATACTTTTATAAGTTGAAGTTAAGGTAATTTTGAATGATTCACTTAACTGCTAAAATTAGAGTAAATAATTTAAGTTGAGATTGTTACTCAATTTCATAAGCTTCATTTTATACTGCTAAATACAATTTAAAGATGCATCTATGTAAATAACTACATACATTAAATATACATAAGTGTGTAGATAAATCCATACATGTATAAATACATTATAGACATGTTATATTTGTATAATACTATTATTTGTTAAGAAACATTAACAAAACTGACATAGAACATTATTCTAACATGCTATTTCTTTATCTATTTCTAAATTATATAAGTTGTCATCAAGCAATGGACACACAGACATACACAATACCTTTAATTTTGTATTCTCAAGATCCAGAGTTTCATTTTCATATTCAAGTGAGTTAAGTTTTCTAAGAATTCCTTCACATGAAGCTTTCCCTTGGGTTTCCACTCTCTTCAGGTCTTCTAAAAGATCAGTGATTTGCCTTCATAAGGTAAATACATTTTATAGAAGTTATAGAAATTTTCATTCCCATAATACATTTTAAGTATTTTTAAGTCAATTTGGTAATTTGCACTATTTCATATAGGAAAAGTCCAAAATGTTAATAGAATTTATAGAGCAGGGGAATCTGGAAGAAGGAATCTATAAGGTTACCATCAGAGTAGCTTGAAATATCCACTGATTATACAATAATCTCTTTGCTAAATGATGGAATATCTCACCTATTAGCCACCAAGTCTACATGTCTGTTTTCCTCATGCACACCCAATTTTAGAAACAAGTTTAAAGAAAAAGATCAACTGAGGATCACAGTTCAAAGCCAGCCTGGGAAGGAAAGTCTGTGAGACTTTTATCTCCAATAAACCACTAGAAAACCAGAAGTGGCACTGTGAGTCACTTGAGCTGAAGAGTGTAGGGACAGCACCCAACAACAACAAAAAGATTAAGTAAGACAACAGCAACTAATCTTTAGTTATATGTAACTGGTATTTAAGTCACCTTCATTTACACATTTTTAAACGATAAAAGTGAACATAATACACTGAAAATAAAACATTTAAAATAGGTATTAAGGGTCTGTTGGTTATCAGCACTTAATTTCAAAAGATTAAATAAATGTATCTAAACTCAATTGTTTTCTTTATAGCTTTAAATCACTTCAATTAAGGGATAGTAATTTTTAGGACTTTCAAAGCATTTATATTTATATTGCACATTCAGGTTTACTTGAAAAATATCACTTCTATTTAAGACAGTCTTCATATATACAAATAACAGACGACACATTGAAATAAAAAAAAT